ACTTCAGACAATTCCTGGTACCCTAAAATTATTACCTACCTGTAGTGAATAGGGCTTCATGGGGTTGGTGAGAATTATTTAAAGAGCATTATCAGAGTCTTGTGCATTTCCCTTCCCTCCTCAAAAGAACCCCCACTCCCCAGCAGAACCAGGTGCTGCAGGGAGTTGCTGAAACCAATTTGCAGGCCAAAGATGGAGTCCTTCCTGCCCAGCGTGCCATATCAGCAAACTAAACTTTCTTGTTCCTTTAAATGCTTCCACCTGACCAGTAAAGCAGTCAGACAATCCCCAACCACTAAAGCTAATTCTGGATTTAGGTACTTGTTCCTTCTTACCCCAAACAAGGTTGACTGTGTGACCCAGCCAATGATATTTTATTTTTCTCTTCTTGTTCTTTATTCTTTATCCTATAAAAGCTTCCTGACTTTTGACCCATTTTGTTTTCTCTGAATAAAGACTTTCTGCTTCATGAACTATTAAAGTTTGTCTCCTAAATTGTCTTCTTTAATCATTTTTCAACTGCTCTAAAGCAGACCATTGAAGAAGGCTTACTAACCTTACTTGTGGATCCCAAGTTTGGGGGTTGCATGGACTAGAATCTGTGCCTATCTCTCTTGTCTAAAGAAAAGAGGTTGACTAGTAGTTGGGGCTGACTCTAAAGAGAGAAAGGGCTTTGTTGAGAGTAGACTGTATATCCAGAATTTGAAGGGGCAAACTGCCAAGTTTACAATAGGTTAAAACACCAAAGCTAGAAAGTCTTTTAAAAACTTTACCCAGGAGACTAGAGAATGGCTGTGTAGAGTGTACCATCAAAGCAGGAGCTAACGGGTCAGCTGGAAAGCACTTTGTCTGCAAGTGTATATGGAGAATATAAGTTGAAGAAGTCTCCCACTAACCCAACCTATCTCTCACCCTTCTTTTCTATAAAAACTCTGCAACGTGACAACAGCAAGTGGAAAAGTTGAGTATGATGGGGAAAACAGAGATAAATCAAGCCTTATTCCTCAATGTCTGTCTAGTACAAGCTGAGGAGAGAAGCTTTAAATTTAGATCAGATTGAACTTCTTAATATTCTAAAATTTGTCACAAGTTGGAAATAGGAAAGTCTAATAATGGGTAAAGTAACATGGCTGACCCCCTTAAAATGTATCTCCATTACTAAGGTTCTTTCCTTGGAATTACTTTAATGTGTCATTATTATTTACATAAATTCAACAAAATATTGAAAATATAACAGTACCTGGTAAAAACTGACAACACACACACACACAAACCCAAAAGTGGTTTATTAACTTCATCCTTCCAGACTTTGTATTAGATCATTTCTTTCCCCCACTCCCAAATCCATTTTTTCTTCTATAGATACTATATGATTACATTGTGTTAGTATCCTTGCTATAAACTAAAAATATGAAGATGGTTAAGACATGGTCCTTCCTCTGATGGAGCTCATGTTTAGTAGTAGACAGTAAATTGACCAATATTTAAAAATCAGTACACTAAGGACTACACAAAATAATGCACAGGATGCTAGTGCGACAACCAACCAAGGAAATGTTCTAAAGAGGTGACCCCAGACCCAAGTTGTAAAGGTTAAGTCTTATTTAAGAGAAGTGGGGCTAAGAATTGCTGTGCATAAAGAACCAGCATTAGGTACAAAACCCAGAGGCAAGGGTAAATATGGTGGTTGAGGACACTGGCAGGAAGGACCTTACCATGGAGCTAATGAGACAGAAAAAATGATTGTTCGTGTTTTCAGATGTAGAAAAACTTGCCTTATGTGGTAGAAGATAGACCTCCCAACATTAACATGACCCTTCACCTTGCCTAATGGAACAAAAGCTACTGAGCTTCATATATGGTGTTACATATTACTCACTGTGTATATTCCACATTGACAATGGGACTGGTTTTATCTCCATGAGGAACCAGGACACTACAGTGTTGTATCCATTCACTTAGATGTATATATTGCATGCGTCCTTGGTACTGCTTGTTTGCTAATTTAGTGGAAAGCCTAAATGAAAGTAGCCTTGAACTCAGAGTTCTAGTCAGTCTTTGAACACAAACCAACCTCTCTGTGGTCTGACCTAACTTAATGGCATATTCTAGAAAATTTAAAACAAGTACAGAATGTCTGGAATATATGGTAGAGAGTAAAAAGTGGTAGAAATTGAAGAGGTAACCAGAGGTTAAATCATGATAGCAGTTATACATTAAGTGAGTAGGTCTTTATCTTGGAGATGGTGAAAAAGCCATAAAATAATTTTGAGGTATGTAGTATGACAAGATTTGTATTTTGGAGCAATCACTAATGGCAGTATAAAAAGGGATTTGATGAGCAAGGGCTAGTTAGAAGGCTGCTCTAATGAGATAGGTGAGAGATGATGATCTGAAGGTCTGTGGAAATTGAGATAAAGACACAGGAATAGATTGTAGATTTAGAGTCAGTATAGTGTGGGAAGGGAGGGGTGAAGGAAATGAAGGCAATCAGAAACACTCTAGAGTTTCTGGAGGGGCAGCTGCATGAATAATTTCATTCTCTGAGATAGCATACCAGAGGGGAACAGGTTTTAGAGAAAAAAATGAAGAGTTGTGTTTGGAGGATATTATTTTGAGAGGCCCATAGGACTTGTTTAAGAGGCAACTCTCTTGCTAAGTCTGAATACATATTTAAAAGTAGAACACTCAAAAGAATTAAATTACCCTGTGAATATAAAATGTCAATTATAAAAACAAAGATGGGAGGCAGATAAAAAATACAACTCTAAATCATATGCTTAAGGAAATCAAAATAGTGAAATAATGGCAAGACGTAAGCTAAAGCAATGTGTGATGCAAAACTAAGAATTAAGAAAACCAAGGATATTAAAAACTCACAACTCAATTGTCATCATGAACAAACTTATTTTCTACAAATGTTTCTCATGAAATTAGAGTGTTCTTCTTTTGTTGTTGTTAGAAAAGAATGTGCTATTTTGAGCTATAGAGTCTGCTGGAAATTTTAATTGTTTAATAAAATACAGTAACTGGACATCCCAGCCTTCTAAGAATTGAATAAAAGAGCTTGAAGATAAAAAAGATGAACAGTGAAAGGACAGCAAACTCACAGTTATTAAGAACCACATCTAAAACAAAAGCAAACTAAGAGGACAGCTAGATCAGGAGCAGAACCATAGAAATGAAGATCACATGGAGGGTTAGCAACAGGGGAGTGGGAGGAGGAGAAGGGGGAGAAGGTACAGAAAATAAGTAGCATAGATGGTAGGTAGAAAATAGATAGGGGGAGGGCAAGAATAGTATGGGAAATATAGAATCTAAAGAACTTGAGACATGTGGTCATAAACTAAAGGGGGGAATGGTGGGGGAGGAGGTGTGCAGGGTAGAGGGGAATGAAGGGGGGAAATAGAACAACTGTAATGGCATAATTAATAAAATATATTTTTAAAAAAGAGCTTGCTTGCTCCAGATACAGAAAGGAGATAGTTTCAGACACGTGGCACAAAGACATAGGAAATGTGATATAAGCCCTTCTTTTTCTACAAAGAAAATACTCCTAAGGAGAGTGTAACGAGTGTGTCTCAATGCAATTAACATGTAATCATCGAGTCCAAACTAAATGTGTCAGAAAAAAATACTGGCAGATTTTCTTTTCCTTAATTAAGCAACAACCTATCACAGAACCATGTCTTTACTTAAAGCAGCTGCATAGTCTTTGAAATCACAAGTTTAGAAATGCTGCCTACAGTGGAAATACACATGCTCTGGACCAGAGTTCCCATAAACACATATGGTAAGCATATGGACCACATTTCCCATTCTTTAATGTACAGTTTACAAAAATTTTATAGAGAGAAATCTATAATTCTACAGCATCTAATGTATTTATCTGAATTTACATTAGCTAGAGCAAGAGGCTATATATCGCACATAGAAGATACATATTTCTTGTACACTATTTAGCACACACATAGAGATACACACACATGCACACAGACACACAGATAACTGAACAGTGCTTTCTTTAAAGTGCTGGATTTGACTCACAGACATGGATAACACTGTAGTAATTGCAGGGGGGTGGAGGGGGAGTATAAGGGGACTAAATGGTAATGGAAAAAATACAATAAAAAATTTAAAAAGTGCTGAACTTCCATAGACTAGTGGCATTCTCAAAGAGTTCACATAGAAAAATGAAGTGGATACACTGTAAATTTAACTTTAGGACAACCTAATGAAAACAAATACCACTTTGAGATATAAAATGATGTAATTCAGATGGCATGTCATCAGATCTTCTCTGAATTCATGGGTATTATTTATGATTTTGTCATGTAATACAGAGTAAGTTTCTCTAAATTCCCACCCCCCCAAAAAAAATCAACTTACAGAAAAACAGTTACTGGGGATTCTGTAGAAGTGAGATCCAGGTGGGAAAGGGTTCCTGAATGCTTTCATGTACTTGAACTGCAATATGTTACATCTAAAGAGCAACACATTCATTAACATTAAATGTTCTCCTTTTTTCCTGTATAAGTAGAAATATAGATTGGTTCAACTTTATATTAAAAAAAAGAGCAGAGCTATTTAAAGAAATGCTACCTCCTAGTAGAAAGATCTTTTTTCTATGTGTTTTATAAAGCAGTGGAGTATAGTACACTTAGTCACTATGATGACTAAATGTTTTATAATTAGTACCTCCAAAAAATCATGTCATGAATCTTTGTTTGATTTCCAAACTTAATTTCTCTTCTTAATAAAACTACAACTGGTATTTCCTATATGCAGCTAAGTAATAGTGCTTAGATTGAAAACAAAACTTATTAAAAATTATCATTGTGGTTACAGCTTAAAAGTCCCAGGAACCTATATACAAATGCTTAAGAATGGCAGATACTGCAGAGACCATACAATATGATTACTTAATAACCTAGTTGTTTTGTTTCTGAGTTAATGAATCAATACTTTCCACACAGTAAGTAGACGAAGATAATTTTTCATCACAAATAATCAAAACAATTTTATTTGGGTTTTGAATATTTTCATACATAAAGTAAAATATGACTAATAGTCTATAAATTTGTAAACTACAGACAAAATAATGCACAGTAAAAAATTGGAAAGTTATCAACCTTTCTCAATGTGATGTCAAGGACATGAAAACACTCCCCTACATTTTATGCCTACTCTTTGCCTGGAAAATAAACTCCAAACTGTTTGACGTGGCATTTGATACCCTAAATAATCTGTTTCCAACTTGTTTTTCCAGAAACTCCTGTCCACACACTGCTCTCTCTAGAATATGCTATAAACGTTGGGTTTCATGTTCTAGTTCATAGTGTTCCCTCAATGTGTTATGACTGTTTTACATTTCTCAAAAACTTGTAAATCTTTCAGGCTTCCGTGATCTGTCATTTACTCTGTAATGTCTTCTCCATACATCCTGCCTCTAGATAGTATTAATCATTTATTCTTCCTTACTTTTCTATTGCAATTAAATTTAAATTTAAGTGTTACAATTATTTATCTCCTCCCCTGAATTACACTCAAAGGGAAAAAGTCTTACTCATTTTGATTTCACCCAAGCTTCACAAAATGACTATAAACAGAGGGTACACAATAAATACTGAGCTGAACAGATCTAGTCTTGATTTATATAACAAATACAACAAACTTTAATAATAATCCTCAACTATATAAAATGTAAAAGCCACATCACACTGATTTTTTTGTCAGTTATTGTTAGGATCAAATGAAAATTACTTGGCTTTGAATACTAGTGAAAATTTACCCTAAACATGAATTCTCCACATTATCCTTTCAGTAGTAAGTAAATCAAACAACTAAATTTCTCTTGTAGTCAGTTTGGAAGGAGGCAGGAAATAGTTATGCAAAAATTCATTCAAGTACCTGTAAAAATAAATAGAAATCAAATATAAGATCCTTACTAATGCTATTAAGAGTATCAAGAAGAATCATTTAGTCTGTTACAGTCTTTGTATGTTAAAGGTTTAAAGACATTTTGAAGACTAAAAGAACATTAATTCAGTTCAAAGTAACCTTAAGGAAAATTAGATATATGCTAAAGGGTCAGTATTAAATCACTGTCACAAAATATTTTTATATAACTCTAAAAACTCTAATAAATAATAATTCAATAAAATTGCATTCAATAATGCTCTGTAGACTGTAGATCAGCTGTCAGCACACAACAGACTATAGGCCGAACTTGGCCCCTCATTTGTTTTTTGAAAAAGTTTTACTGAAACCTAGCCATACCCATTTGTTTCTGTATCATTCCTGTCTGATTTTGTTCTGCAAAGCTGAGTAGTTGAGACAGAGACTGTATGTCTCACAAAGCCTAAAACATTTACTATCTGATCATTTAAAGAAAATCGGCCAACTCCTGCCGTAGATAATAAATTGGAATTCTAGTTTGAAAACTTAGCCAGTCTGTGTGTGTGAAGATTTATTATTCTAGAACTTAGAATATTTATCCAAAGACTTTATCTCAAAAACAAACTTTTAAGAAAGGTATAAAAAATTATGACCTGACAAGCTCACTTCTGGGCATACACAACAAACACTATGGGTGGTTACCAAAGGGGAAGGCTATGGGGGGTAGGGTACAGTAGGGTAAAGGGTGTCAAATTTTTTCATGGAGACAGAAGGAGACCAGACTTTGGGTGATGAACACACAATGGAATATACATTTCATATACTATAAAGTTGTATACCTGAAACTTATATAATGTTATTAACCAATATTGCCCCAACAAAATTAATCTTTTAAAAAGGGATATTATGATATAAAAAGGATACAGGGTAGTTGAATAGATAAGAAAACATGACCTACACATATGCTGCCTCTAAGACACCCACCTCTGAACAAAAGACCTACACAGATGGAAGGTGAAGGATTGGAAAAAAATATTCCAAACAAATAGGGAAAAAAAGCCAGGTAGCAATACTTATATCAGACATAAGATACTTAAAAAATGGCCACAAAAAGAGACACAGAACATTTCATAATACTCTAGGGAAGAATCCATCAAGAAGATAAGCATTGTGAATATATATGCATCCAGCATAGGAGCACCCAAATATATAAGGAAAATCTTGGAGAGATTCAAGAAAAATATTGACAGCAATACACTTATAGTAAGGGATTTTTAACACCCCACTGTCAAAAATGGATAGATCTTCCAAACAAAATACCAACATGGATATTGTTGAATTGAATGGTGCAATAGATCAAATTAACTTAACTGATATATACAGAAACTTTCACCTCGATGAAGCAAAATATACATTCTTTTTAAATGTACATGGAACATTTTAAAGAAAGACCATATGATACATCACAAAACAAGGCTTAACAAATTCAAGAAAACTAAAATCATATCAAGCATTTTCTTGGAACAAAATGGCTTGAAATTAGAAACCAACCTCAAGGAAAAAACTCAAAAACAGTCTAATTCATGGAGACTGTATAACATATTATTAAACAATGAATGGAGTCACAATGAGATCAAGGAATAAATCAAAAAGTTTCTGGAAACAAATGAAAATGAACTAACAACAGTCCAAAACCTATGGAACTGTCCTGAGGCAGTCCTCGTAGGGAAGTTCATAGTGATATTGTCCTACCTAAAAAAGATAGAAACATTTCAAATAAACAACCTAACCCTACATCTAGAAGAACTGGTGGAACAACAACAAACAAAGCCCAGAGCAAGTAGAAGGAATGAAATAACCAAAATCAGAGCAGAACTAAATGACCTGGAGACTAAAAGAACAATTCAAAGGATCAATAAATCCAGGAGCTGGTTCTTCAAAAAGAAAAAAAAAAAAAAACTGACAAGCCTTTAAGGAGACTTATCAAGAAAAAAAGAGAGAGGACCCAAATAAATAAAATCAGAAATGAAAGAGGAGAAATTACAACAGATACCACAGAAATAAAAGGATTGTAAGAAATTACTATGAACAATTATACAGAAATTTTAAAACTTGGGTGAAATGGACAAATTTCTAGAAACATATAATCTTCCAACACTGAATCAAGAAGCAACAGAAAGTCTGAACAGATGAATAACAGCTAGTGAAGCAGTAATCAAAAAACTCTCAACACACAAAAGCCCTAGGCTAGAGGGTTTCACAGGAGAATTCCACAAAGCATTTAAGGAAGACCTAACCCCTACCCTTCTCAGACTATTCTAAAAAATCCAAAAAGAGGAAAGACTACCAAACTCTTTTTATGAAGCCAGCATCATCCTAATCCCAAAACTAGATAAAGACACAACAAAGAAAGAAAACTAGAGGCCAATATTGCTGATGAACATAGACACTAAAATCCTCAACAAAATATTGATAAATCTCATTCAGCAATACATTAAAAAAATCATACACCATGATCAAGTGGGATTCATCCAAGACACAAGGATGGTTAAATATTCTCAACTCCATGAACATAATATATCACATAAACAAAAGGAAAGACAAAAATCACATGATCATATCAATAGATGTGGAAAAGGCATTTCATAAGGTACAGCACCCATTTATGATAAAAACACTCAGCAAAGTGGGAATAGAGGGACATTCCTCAACATAATAAAGGCCATATATGAGAGACCTACAGCCAACATCATACTCAATGGGCAAAAACTAAAAGCTTTCCCACTAAGATCAGGAACAAGACAAGGATGTCCACTCTCACCACTCCTATCAACAAAGTACTGGCATTCCTAGCCACAGCAATCAGACAAGAAAAAGAAATAAAAGGTATCCAAATTGGAAAGGAGGAAGCAAAACTGTCATTGTTTGCAGATGACATAAGAGTGTACATGGAAAATCCTACAGACTCCACCAAAAAACTACTTGACCTAATAAATGAATTTGTTGAGGTAAAAGTATGCAGAAAACTACACCACATTGAAGAAAGAAATTAAGGCAGACATAAATAAATGGAAGCATATACCATGTTCATGGACTGAAAGAATGACATCATCAAAATATCCATACTACCCAAAGCAATTTATAGATTTAATGCAATCCCTATTAAAATACCAACAACATATTTTACAAATACAGAAAAAATATTTCAAAAACTTCTAAGAAATCATAAATGACCCTGTATAACCTCAGTAATTTTGAGAAAAAAGAACAAAGTAGTAGAGACCACAAGACCTGATATCAAACTGTATTACAAGGCCACTGTAAGTGAAACAGCCTGGTACTGGCATGAGAACAGACACTTCGATCAACGGAATGGAATACAGAGCCGAGAAATAAACCCAAGTCTCTACGGTCAATTAATATTTGACAAAGGGAGCAGGAGCATAAAATGGAATAAAAATAGCCTCTTTAACAAATGGTGTTGGGAGATATGGAGAAAGATACACAAATATGAAACTCGACCATCAACTTATACCATACACAAAAATAAATTCATGATGGATAAAAGACTGAAATATAAGTTATGATACCATAAAAGTCATAGAGAAGAATATAGGCAGGAAAATTTCAGATATTCCATGCAGCAATATTTTCACCAATATTTCCCCTAGAGCAAGGGACATAAAGAAAAGAATAAATGAATGGCACTACATCAAACTAAAAGGCTTCTGCACTGCTAAAGAAAGCATTAGCAAAGTGAAAAGGGAACTAACAGGAGAACATATTTGCCAATGATACCTTGTACAAGGATTTTATCTCCAAAATATATAAGGAACTCACATGACTCCACACCAGGAAGGCAAACAATCCAATTAAAAAATGGTCAAAGGATCTGAACAAACACTTCTCCAAAGAAGACATACAGAGGGCCCAGAGATGTATCAAAGGATTCTCAACATCACTAGCCATTAGAAAGAAGCAAATTAAAGCCACCATGAGATACTGGTTCACACTGGTCAGTATGGCTATCATTAACAAATCAACAAACAAGTGCTGGAGAGGTTGTGGAGAAAAGGCAATCCTAGTACGCTGTTGGTAGGAATGCAGACTGGTGCAGCCACTGTGGAAAACAGCATGGAATTTTCTGAAAAAAACTAAAGATGAACTGCTTTTTGACCCCGCAATTCCACTGCTGGGATTATACCCTAAGAATACTGAAAAATTAAGTCAATAGAACCTATGTACCCCAATGTTCATAGCAGCCAAAAGGCCAAGTGCTGGAAACATCCTAAGTGCCCCTTAGGAAATGAGTGAATCAAAAATCTCTGGTACATTTCACAATAGTATGTTACACAGCTGAAAGAAAGAAGGAACTCCTACCATTTTCTGACAGCATGGATGGAACTGGAGAATATTATGCTAAGTGAAGTAAGTCAGGCAGTGAAAGGCAAATACCACATGATCTCACCTATAAGTAGAACTTAATCAACAAAACAAACAAGTGAGCAAAATAGAACCAGAGACATGGAAATAAAGAACAAACTGATAGTTACCAGAGGTGAGGGAAGAGAGGGGTAATGGGGGTAAGAAGAGGAAGGGTCAAGTCAAGGAACAAGTATAAAGAACCCATGGACAAGGACAGTGGTGGAGGGAAGATGGTATGTGGGGGAGCATGTGGGCAGGGCAGGAAAGAGTAATGGGGGAAATTGTAGATAACTGTTATTAAGCAACAATAACGAAATTTAAAAAAAATAAAAGAGTAAACACACACACACACACACACCGCAAAAGGGATACTACAATAAGAAATGTACAAATGTCGACTACATGAAAGATATACAGCATATAATACAGAATATTTTTAAAGAATAAATTATTTTATTTTAATACCTTTAACATATGCCTGCCTTATTATTCTTCATTAACTAAGAAAAGCAATGGTCTTGTGACATAATAGAGTGTGTCACTGAAAATGAACTTTTCTACCACTGTTGCTTCACTAAAAAGTAGAAATTTAATTCTTCCTATATGGATAAAGGAGTAAAGTTAAATATCATTATTTTTAAAAATAAGGGAAGGAAATGATGGAAAGAGAGAAAAGGAAAGAGGGGAGAGGAAGGAAAATATTGTGGAGAGGGAAAAGCAAACTTACTGTACCTCATTCTTTAATTGATATGAAGCCAATCTGTGTACCGAAATTAAGACCATCTCGGACGTGGGAGAAGTACTTGTCAGGATGGCAGGATGTACAGAGGTTGAGATCTTGCTTCTGGTCCTGAATATTCTGTGGTAGAATTCCTCCCTTTTCTAGAAGAATCCTTAGGATAAATATTTTTCAAAAGATAACAAGTTTATATTACCAACAGCTAAAGCAATATAAAATAAGTATGAACATTGGTGTGAAAGAATTTGTACAGAGATATGCTTGGAACAATGCAAGTTGTTATTTAGTTACAGAACTTGGACATGTCAGGAAATTATAGATTTTATCACCATTTATCTCCTATATGAACTATCCAACCTTTCATATTATCCTGCTGACATGATCTGGATACAGAATTTTGTAACTGAAATCAAGAACTTATTTTAGAAGAAACTGTAAAGTTACCAGGGTATTTTTAGACAAGATTCATTTGATTCGGACAGAGCATGCTTTTTAGTCATTTGACCCTCCCATCTCCGTTCTCCAATTCTGCCCAAAAAGTTGCTTCTCCATAAAGACTTCATGATATAAAATATGACTATAAATTAGTGAGATACTTATTCCAAAAATAAGATGTATGTTTTTCTTTCTTTTTTTATTGTTGTTCAAGTGATATCTTGGATGGATCTGGAGAGCATTATGCTAAGTGAAATAAGCCAGACAGTGAAAGACAAATACCATATGATCTCACCTATAAGTAGAACCTAATCAACAAAACAAACAAGCAAGCAAAATATAACCAAAAGTAACATTTAAGAATCCATTTCAATCCTTTCTGCTAATGTGCTAAATGAGGCAGAATCTAAGCAAGTTTTTGATGAGTGAAATACATACATGATTCAAATCAGCCATTAATTTTTCTTTGTTGAAAGGACATATAATTTTTAACAGCTAATAAAAGCAAAAATTCATGAACCCAAAACTGTAAGGGACCATAAAAAACTTGAAAGTGACTATGTGTTTATATTATCTAATATTTTTGCTAAGAAATATATTCCTCTATTTAAAAAATACCAATGATTTTAAAATATCAGTTTCCTAGTTTATCATATTTATTTGTTTAAAAAGATTTTATTTATTTATCTTTAGAGGGAAAGGGAAGGAGAGAGGGAGAGAAATATCAATGTATGGTTGCTTCTCGTGCATCCCCTGTTGGGAACTGGCCTGAAACCCAGGCATGTGCCCTGACTGGAAATCCAATCGCGATCCTTTGGTTCGCTGGCCTGCGCTCAATCCACTGAGCTACACCAGCCAGGGCTAGTTTATCATATTTAGAAGAATTTAGTTGAGGAATACCTATGAAGTAGAGCATATATGAATTTTTCTATATCAAGTTTAACCTTCACTTTTAAATCATTAGAGATACCAGCTGGGAAAATGTCTATTATTAAAACTTAGATAAGAACATATTTCATATTTAAAATGAGTTTTTGAGTACATATGTATATCTACTATTTAAATATCTGCCACCTAAATTTTTCTTGGAGTTACTAGTTATTCTCTAAATTAATTCGAATTTTAGAAGTAATAAGCAAACTTGTAGTTCTGGAATGAAACCACACATACCTGGTGGCTTTACGAATGTCAACATAGGGATCTGATGAATCAAACAGCCGCACACATTCAGGATCAAGATTATAAAATGCCTTTGCTGATTCTTTTGGAAGAGTAAAACAGCAAGGTCCTACTGAAGGTCCCAGTACGACAATAATATCTTCCAAACTACAGCCATATTCTGTTATCATAGCATTCACAGTAGCCATAGCAACACCTAACAAAGTACCTCTCCAACCTGATAAACAGGAAGAAAGAAAAGGACAGTTAAAACATAACAAAATTTCATCCTACTTTTTATCTAAGTTAAAAATAAGCACAGTCAGTTTATATTTTTTCAAATACAGAAGTAGTAATTTCTGTATTTGTAAATCTGTAAATAGTAAATTACAGAAATAGTAATTTCAAATACAAGTACAGAAATAGTAAATGAATTATAAAATTATTAAGCTAAACGATCAATTAACTAATTAAAATACTGATTTTTAAATGAGGTATACATAGAAGAGACATTTAATGGGGGAGGGTGTCTCTTCCATTTCCTTTTAAAAATGTCCTATACTTTTAGTTTCCACTGGCATTATGCCTTCTTAGTCTTCCTGTCCCCCTCAGTTTTCTCCCACATCTTTAAAAACTGTGAAAAAAATAAAATTTACCATTTTAAAGTGTACAATTAATAGGTCAAGTATATTTACATTGCTGTACAACAAAGCTCTACAATCTTTTCACCTTGCAAAACTGAAACTCTATACAAGTTTTAAACAATAAGTCTCCCTTCCGACCTCCTCCTGGTACCTAGTGACCACCATTCTATTTCCTGTTTCTATAAATTTGATTACCCCAGTTACCTCATGTAAGTGGAATCGTAGTATTTTTCTTTTTGTGACTGGCTTATTTCACTTAGCATAATGTCCTCAAGGTTCATTCATGCTGTAGCATGTGTCAGGATTTCTTTCTTTTTAAAAGCTGAATAATATTCCATATTATGCATATACCACACATTGCTTACTCATTAATCCATCAATGGATACTCGACTTGCTTCAACATCTTGGCTATTGTGAATAATGCTACTATTAGCATGAATGAGCAAGTATTTTATCAAGATCCTGTTTTCAATTAATTTGGATACATACTCAAAAATGGAACTGATAGACAATATGGTAATTCTATTTTGAAATTTTTGAAGAAACATCATACTATTTTCCATAGCTGCACCATTTTATATTCCCACCAGTAGTGCATCAAGGTTCCAATTTCTCCACATCTTCACCAAAACTGTTTAAAATATATATATTTTTTATTGTCTATATTATTACAGTTGTCTCAATTTTCCCCCTTTTCCCCTTCCACCCAGGCCCTATTCCACTCCTTCAGGCAACACTCTATTGTCTATGTCCATGGGTCATACGTACATGTCCCTTGGTTAATCTCTTCCCTAATAGTTGTGTGGTGATATCTCATGTGGTTCTGATTTGTATTTTCCTAATTATTAGTGACATTGAACAACTTTTCACATGCTTGTTAGTAATTTGTATATTATCTTTGGAGAAATGTCTATTCAAGTACTTTGTTTATTTTTTAAATAGGTATTTGGTTTTTAATGCTGTTGTTGAGTTATAGTTCTTCATATATTATATACATTAACCCAGTGTCAGATATGAATTGCAAATATGTTTCCCATTCTGTGAGCTGTGATGCAGTTTTTAATTTTGATAAAATACAGTTTATTTGTAATTTTGTTGCATGCACTTTTATTGCCATATCAAACAACCACTGCCTGGTCCAAGATCATAAGAATTCACACTTGTTTTCTTCTATGAGTTTACAGCTTTAACTCTTTCATTTACTTCTTTGATCCATTGTAAGTTAACTTTTATATGTGTTATAAGATAATGGTCCACCATCTATTATTATTATTTTTTTGCACAGAAATGTCCACTTTTCCCAGCATCATTTGTTAAAGAGATTGTTCTTTCCCCATAGGTACCTGGTCAAAAATCAAATGACCATATATGCATGGGTTTATTTTTGGGCTCTCTATTCTATGTTGTTGGGAACTGTAGCTTTATAGTAAGTTTTGAAATCAGCAAGTGTGAGATGTCTAGCTTTGTTGTTTTTCAATAGATTCATTTTGATAGCTTTATCTTTGGTATTTAAATTTTTAATATTTCAAAATCTAAGAAGTAACAAATAACATTCCCTTTTTGTATCCAGGAACTAAGATTCAAATTTTAAGTAACTTTTGGCAATGTCAAACAGCAATCCTGACTTCTAGCTGTCTAATTCTATTACTTTAGCCACTTTCTTATTTATCTATGGCCTAAAAAGAAAAGTAGTCATAAATTTACAAGTAGAAGGAAATCCAAAAACTCATCCCTCATTTCACATAAACATATAACCACTGGATAATCTAAAATAATATTTTAAAACAATTCTAGAAAAACAAAATTCCATAGCCATAATATGTAATATAAAAACCTTTATCTGTTCTTAGCATATTAAACTAAATTCAATTTTCCAAACATTTCTCATTTTTTCTTGCCTCCTTACCTTTACACATGCTGCTATAACTTCATGAACACCTTTCTGCAATATGCCTAACCTCTTCCTCATTGCCTAGACTTTTAGGTTTCTTAGTAGCAGCACCACACCCTGGGGAGTGTTTGAAAAGCAGGAAGGCTTTTTTAAATTTTAAAAATCACAATAAATGGGAATTTCAAAAGCTAAGCAAACTGTTTGCCATGTAAGATTATCTTGCCCAAAATGTTACTACTAGCACTCCTGCTGAGAAACACTGACACCTAGACTACCCCTATAAATTCCTCAGGAATCAGCTTAGGTACCACTTTTTCTGGGGGGAGTTCTCTGCTTCATATAATTTGACTTAGGTTCTCCTTTTATCTGCTTCTATAATAGTAGTATGCTGAACTTAACCCTATCTTTTTATTTATCACCATGTACAATAATTAGCTGTTTGTTTGCCATGCCTACCAGAAAGAAATTGTAATTTTTTGTGCTACAAAATGGTAAAATCCTAAATGCTTAATTAAGTTTACTTACCAGAATGAGCAACCCCACATGCTTTTTTGACAGGATCTGCAAAAACTATTGGTATACAATCAGCACCAAGAGCTGCTATTGTGACGCCTCTCTGATTTGTGGTGATTCCATCATAAGATTCAGGCTCCTTCCTTCCCATAACCCAGACGTCATTGGCATGATCAGTCTAATATCAAAGATGTGTAATAAAAATGTTTTGAAAGTAGGATTTCTCATACTATAAGCTTTTCTGAAAGTATTCATTTTGTACAAAATTATATAACCAGTTTAAGATTACTAGGGTTCATTAAATATATCACTTCTATATAAGATAAAATACCAAATTTATTTATCATTTCACTTTTGGTATTATAATTTCTGCATGTTTTATTTAAAGAAAGAAGAATTTAATATTTAAAAATTCAACACTGACCATCATGAACACCTCCTACTAGAGATAGGTAAGTATATGAAGTACTTTCCACAATGAACTAATTCATTGAAAGAAATTAATTCTAAGTCAATGATATTTTTATTTTTCCTGGGCTCAAGGGAAGTTAAAATTCTGTAACAAAGCACTATCTCATCAATTGTGCCCTAAGTTCCTCCTGGTGTTAACTTAGAAATAATGGCCTTTCTTTTCCACAATTCAGGAATCTTCCTTACAGGTCAGAAAGGGCAGTGGTACTATACTCTCTGAGAGTTAACTGTACTTTTATATGTGAGGAACTCCAGGTGAATGAACATATGTGTGTGTGTGTGTGTGTGTGTGTGTATACATATATTCTTGATTTTTTAGGCTATGGTATATAGGTCAAATAAAAACAACTATAATCATTATACTAAAGTTTTAGATAAAACACCAGATGAAAAAAGTTAAATAGCTTACTTAAGGTCCGTTAGTCATTAGCAGAGTTAAGAATATACTTTAGATCTTCTAAAATATGAAACACAATTTTACCTTTATTCGGTAAAAGTTCTTCACATTAAATCCTGCAGCACACCCCAACCTACGCAGATTTTCTTGAACGACTACCTTAGGATCTCTCCGTTTGGAACTACTGAAGAGATTTAAAGAGCTGAGAGTTGGTAGGTAAGATATTCCACCTGTTCTCGTAGTAAACCCATGTATGAAAATATCTGTTGAAGATAAATAGTGAAGAGTAAAAATATGCTATACAAAACACTATAAAAAGCATTACAAACCCTACCTCTTGGTTAAGACTTTACCTGATCACATCAACCTGCACTTATCTGGCACCTAATTCTATAGAACTTTGCATCTCCATGTGTTCTTATTACCTACTGCTTTGTTCTACCTTTCCTATGGAGTTTTGCTCTTTGAAGGGTATTTTCTGTCCTATTTGTCTTTGTTAATCCCAATAGCATATAGCACATAGTAAATATTATTTATTCAAGAAGACTGTTTTAAATTTCACTGTTCTGTAATGACACCAGTCATTACAGAGGCTTCAGAATTGCTAAATAGGAAATGCTTAGGGTTATAAATCTCATTTTAAAGGAAGCCTGGGGATTTGTCTTAAAGCTGAATTTGAATAAAGCAAATTTATTTATGCAGGGGGCTTTGAAGGGGCTATCCCCTGATATCCTTGACATCCCTAACACTATAAGATCATCCATGACATTCCCATGTTGCAACTGATGCTAATAAGCACATAAGCCCCCAAAGTCTACAAAAGAAAGATGGAAAAAAAGAAGTGAACAACTTCTAAAGAACAACTGTTTTTTCACATGCACAATGAAAACAACAGATGGCATGTAATATACCTGAAATCAAAGGAGATGTGATTATGGTTAATTCTCCTTTCAGTGTTGGCAGACTTCTCAAATATGTTTCTATTTCATTCTGTATTGCTTCTAGTTCTTGAGCTGTGATGATGTTTACCTCAGAAGCCTGTTTCAAAAGGCCTCCCTTCAAAGTTACCTCTAAATCTTCAAACTCAAAATTGTAAACATCAGTGAAAAGTTGATCAATGAAAGCCTTCATTAATGTCTTCCGGTGCATCGATACAATGACCTTAATGCTGCTCAGATTTTTTTCATCAATTTTTTGTTTAATGGTATACAAAGACACAGCCATACTGGGATTGCTAACAGTCTCAAATTCCCTCAAGAGAACTGATAATCCATTGCTCGTTTCTAATTCATAATTATCCGGGTCACTGTTCCTTTCACAGTCGATATTGCTGCAACACATTATGCAAAGGAACTTGGACTTGGCAGCATGGCGGTACCCAAGAGCATTCAATGTCTTCAGTAATGTCCGATGATCGTTTTTCTGAGAGTTCAATTTCAAGCCAAAAAGATCAATCAATACTGCTTCTGCCATCCTTCGGTAAGGGTACACGGCTCTTCAGAGAAGGCTTTTGTGCCCCTCCCCAATCACCTGTAAAGAAATATTAGCATAAATAAAAATGTAAAATCATTTTGATCTTCTTACAGTTACAACAGAAGTTTGAGGCTGGGGTAAAAAAAAATTGCATTGATCTAAATATGTAAGCAAAATAGTTACTCTAGACCCCTCCCAGAAAAGCTAGTTCACTCTCAGAAGAATCATGACAAAGAAAAACCATCTGTTCATTTATTTTCTGAAAGTACCTGTACATCTTCCCAGCACAATTTCAAAAACAATTTCTTCCCCAAAACAATTTCTCTTGTTTTTTTTTTTGTTTGTTTTCATATAGGGAATTACTTGTTGACTTAAAGTTCTGTTTAGTAATTACATGGTATTAATTTAAGGTACATATTATTAATTCTGATAGGTCTGGCATGTTAGGTCACATCCCTTCACAAGTACGGGGCTTTAAATTCGGTACGTTAAACGGAGCTGCGCTTTTAAAACGTGTTTTTAAGAGACAAAAGCAGACATGACCTACACATTTCTCTCCAGTATTTACACAATGATACAGGTATGGCAATTACCCCAAGGCGACTGCGATATGCTGGAGACGCCTCCTCCCCGCTTTCCTCCTACTCCTTCTGGTCGCGAGGATCTCTCACCTCACCCGGTCCTCCCACCAGGCAGGCGGTAGGCTTCAGGTGACTCGCTTCCGGGACCCCCTTTTGCCAAAGACTTTCTGGGGCCGCCACTCCCAACCTCCACTCCCTACCATCCAGGACTTCCGCCCGAATTCAGCTCGTCAGTTTCCAAAAACATTAAGAAAAACAAGGGTGGCCGTGAGGTTCCTCAAAACGCGACTGTGACCGCCGGGCCGGCGCGGGACTCCGGGCGCGGATCCCCGCTCGCCCAGGCACCTCCCCCGACCCTGCCCCACCCCTCCGGGACTTTCCGACGGCCCCACGCACCCCTCGGGCAGCACTGGAGTCCTCGCCTCCAAGTGCCCGACCTTCGCCCGCGGACTGTGTCGGGGGCCAGGTGTGGGGATTTGCCCCACTCCCACCCCATCTCTGAGTCCCCGCGAAACCGGGAAGCCGCCAGCCTGTCACGTGGAGTCCAAAGCCTGGCCCCCCTTGCCTAGGTGGGCTGCAGGGATGCAGGTCCACCTCGCCCACCTCAGCGCAGACGCCGACTCCCGCCTGCCATCGCCCAGCTAGGGCCCTGCAGTCCCGGTGTGGCCCCGAGCGCCCTGGGAGGAGCCGAGAGGCACGGACGCCCATCCGGCGGACGCCGGGCAGACCCCAGCCAGCGCCCCGGACTCCCGCGTGGAGCAGATCTGCTCCAGCGGCCGCCTCTGCATTTCCGGGTCAGGGCGGCCCTCCGAGCCTGCTCTTTTCGGCCCTGAGGAGGGAAGAGGAACTAGAACAGGAGCCCAGAAAGGCTTCGAGCCAGAGCCGGCGGTCAGCGGGCCGGGGGCCGGGGGCCGGGGAGGCGGGCGGGCAGGCGGGGCCAGGAGGGGCGGAGACACCTCGGACCCGAGGCGCTGGCTCCCTTCTGCGACGGGAAGCCTCACCCCACGTCCGCCGACCTTCCAGTGGGGACGGTTCGCTGTCCCAGCAGCGTGGTCGTGACGCTTGGCGCAGTCACCAGAGCACAAGCCTAAGAACCGCATTTTCTTAGTACTTGGCAATTTGTTACATCCAAGGTTTTCTTTTTTCTCCGTTTTTATTTCCAAAAACGAGTTGGTCTAACCTTTCTTCCCTTTTTCCTCCTGATTCTGCATGTCTTGCTGACTGTACCAACACAGTACAGTTCCTTCACTTGTGTTGACAGATGTCCTGTATGCCCTTTAAAAAATCTATGTCACTAGTAAAAAATTAGAAGTCACATTAAAATGGCGGTAAAGGTGCAAATTAGCGTCATTTATCAGCCTTCAAAGAATGTAACATTCACTTAAAAAAAAAAAGTTAAACACACATTATGCAAAATAATGTTAAGGTAAAGGAAGATTATATTCCACCTCCCAAGAGTAGAAGAAAGGATATTTTCAGTGGAATTGGTCATGATGGCAGGAAGAGTTCCCTTTTATTTTATAGTTGTTCAGATGGTAAAGGCTGAAGAACCTTTACCTGAAAGAGAAATGATTTCCTTGGTTATCTGGGAGTTTAGAACAGTACTTGGAGGGGGCAAGTGCTTCTATTCTATTTGATTAGAGAATGAGATCACCAACTCAGAATAGGAGCCTACTGTTTAGTATTCCTGACAGATGTTTTTTGTCAAAATTTGTATTTTCATTATTTTTGCTGAACATTTGTTAAGATCCCCGCGTGGTAGCTTGTATACCTGATCAGAAGGTGCACACTCTGTCCTCAAATTGTTTTATGTTAAATATCACTTTAAGGAAAATAGAAGTCTTTTAGTTAGAAAGCCAGTTAACACATTTATCCCTGTCTTAGTAGACAATGGTGGGAATTCATTTTCTTTCATGTTACAGTAGTGGCATGTTACAATAGTGACATTTTCTTTCATGTTACAGTAAAAATTAAAGTAATAGTTCAACATAGGAAAGTTGTCAGGGAAGGGAAAGTTTGTCATTCTATATTATTGACATACCATTTTCTTTCAACATCTGGTCCTAACACCCACCCGGTAACACTCTCTTACCTTATCTCCAGTCACTCCACTCCAGTGGTTCACTGCACTTCACAAAGACAAGTAGAACTTTAGAAAAATAAATAAATAAATAAATGCAGAGGCTCCACTCCAGATATACATTTGAAACAGAATCTCTGGGAGTCAAGCCTGGGCATGTTTTGCTTTGTTTTGTTTTAATTTCTACAGATGAGTCAAATGCATGTTTAGGTTTGCAAAAGCAAGTTCCCTATTCCCAAGCCACTCAAACTCAAGGCTGTTCCTTAGGAGGGCCATATAATTTCATTCTTTACATATGCTATTTCTTCAAGTTAGAACAACCTTATCTTCATATAGTTATTTGACTGTTTCTTCTTTAAGACTCTTCAAGCTCAAACATAACCTTCCTTGAATTCCCATCTCCTCATCAAGTACAATTAATGGCTTCCTTTTTTAGCATTTTGTTCATAGAGAAAGAGCCCTTTCATAGAGCTACCTGGACTCATAGCCAAACAATAAACTTTTAAAAATGGATTAAACATGGAAATGTTATAAGGGTAAAGTTGCTGGCATATAATTTATTTAAATACATCTGTTAAAATGAAAAGTCAGTTAAACCAGAGAGTCATGAAAAACTATAACATAAGTACCTTAAATATTTTGTTTTAACCTAAAACAACCATATTCACATTTGTCACTGGATTGAGAAAGTCCCAGGCCATTTTTCTGCACATGGCCTGCTGGTAAGAGTTCTACATTGTATCTCTTACATAAACTATACCTCCAAACCATCAGTTAAGCTATTCCAAGATTTTGTTGTATTTCCACACTACTTTGTTGGTTGACATAACATTTAATTAAGTTTTGAAAGCATCGTAATAAATACAACTGGTACAAACAGGCTCAGGAATTTACATAAATAACTCATTGGTGGATTATACAAATCAACTGGTAGGATCAGAAGTGGGCAGACTCACCAGAAAGTAGCTTCTTAACCATTCAGTATTCAGCATGATATGGGAATCAGCAGCTTATGATTTACAAAAGAAATAGAGTGAGTTAATTGGTTAGAGGTTAAGTGTAATTAGACTTACTCTGTGTTTATTGTACCTCCTACATTTTAAGTATTTGACTATGTGTCTATCTCCTTGTAGTGACTTAGAGCATTTTGAGGGCAGAGATAGTGCCGATTAAGGGAAACCATTGGGAAAATCCCAGAAATTCTCATATCACTATGTAAATCTTCTCATGAACACAAGCGGAATTTAAAAAATCTGAGCAGTTATTTTTAAGCCATTTACATTAACGCTTATGGGTACTTCCAGAAAAGGATATGTAACATGCAAATATGTTTAAAAGCTCTGTTGTTTTTCTAAAGTTGCTATAACAAATTAGCACAAATTGGATGGCTTAAAATGGCAAAGATGTATTCTGTCATGGTCATGGAGGTAGAAGTCTCATCAAGGTTTTGTCAGAGCCATGCTCCCTTGAGACGTTCCCATGCCTCTTTTAGCTGCTGGTGGTTCCATGACTTGGGGCTCTGTGGCTTCATCCTTACATGTTTTACTCCTGTGTGTCTGAGTCTCGAATCACTATCTTTCTCAAATAAGAGCACCTGTGTGGAAATAAAGACAGGCCAACCATATGAGAACAATGGCTATTTAATCAGAGCTTTCTAGAGCAAAAGAGTCAGCCACCAAGGCAGGCATAGGAGTGGGAAAACTTTATCATGCAAAAAAGAGATATCTTCAGCTGTGCCCTGATTGTAGGCTGTTGGCATGAGGAAGTTGTAGGTGGTCTAACTCAAAGCAGGATGACATATGTGGTACATATTTGCTTTTTTCTGGTTGGTCCCAAGTTGGAAGTAGGGACAAAACTTGGGGAAGTTGTCAGTTATTAATCAAACACGGGCCATTTTGGACCAGTTGTTACAGGGTTTGTTTGTTTTTTCCTCAATTATTAGAGATAGTGGTCTAACACCCTAAAAGTATGATTTACAGATGAACTTTACAGATGGCTTCCTGGTTTGGTTACTGTAGATAATATGTGGGTGGATGGTGGTTTTTTGGGTTTGGTTCAGGTCGTGGGTCAGAGTTCTATTTTTATATGTGATCTGGTCACTATATATTCAGTCTCTCACTTGTCATTGAAAAGAGGGTCTACTCTAAATCCAGAAAAATCTCATATTCAGACCCTTACTTTAATCTACAAAGACCCTTTCCAAATAAGGTCACATTCACAGGTCCTGGGAGTTAGGACATGGACCTATTTTTTGGGGGGTCACCCTAGAACCCATTGCAAGCTCCTCTTATTTTAGAATCATGCTTATTTATTTATAGAGTTTTTAAAAAGACCTCTCCCCTTACTGTCCGGAATTAGAAAAGCAGATAGGTTATAACTACATTTCATCAAAGGCCTATATATTTTTTCAAACAGTTGCCTGAATGGTCTCTTAAAGCTTGGATTCAGGTTACACAGTAATCCTTGTATGTATACATCCCAAAATGAGATGTTTTGGTAGTCCAGTATTATCTGTACATTCAGAGACATCCCACCTTTAGGAGAAAGCTATAGGTAGCATGGATAATATATGAATATTGTATATGATAGGAAGTTAAGGGATATTACAAATTCTCTGGTTTCTTTATATTTTTAGCATTCTGACACTTTAATCTCATTTCCTAGCCAGAAAAGAGAACAATCCATAGTTTCAGCAGGTTTAAGACATTGATATATAATAGGTATGCAATTTTTAAATGATTTAATTACTTGATTCCTTTTGGGTGATTTCTGATGATGTTATAGCTTAATGAAAACATTGGTTGAAAAGACTTTCAGTCTTTTTTACCTCGAAGTATGTATTTTTGATTATTACTCATTTGTGCAGTGTGCCACATTTTCCTCATTATGCCTCTTTAATTTATTTGTTGAAATTGAACCACCCAGATCTGATTTTATCATGCTTATTATACATATAGACCATAATAATAAATTCCCTTGATACCAGAAAAAAACTTTGATCTCATATTTCCCCAGGTTAATATTTTAGCTTATCTAATTGAATGTCAGCTTTAATATTAAACTTCCTTGCCAAGACCTTGTGCAAAGAGATAAGAGTGTGAAAAACAGATGAGAGCATATTTAAAAGATACTACTAAATGTAACAACCAATGAGGCAGCTATTTTTATTGACGTTTCTCATCACTCTCTTCCCATTGAAAACAAATGTCAGAAGAATTTGTTTAAGGACCAAGATCACAGACTACTACATCTTCCTTTAAATTCCCACTCCTTGCTCAGAGTGTTTCTTTAGGATTATATGTAAATAGGTTTTTAAAAAAATCAGGCTTCATAAATGTTATCAGGCAGTTTGCAGCATAAAAATCTAACTGGCTCAAACCTGCATAAAAGAGAAGATGCCCTGTTAGCAACACTATAGTCTTCTGAGGACTATCTGTGGTCCACAAGGCTTGGTCATGTAGCATATTCAGGATGATTTGTGCCTGTCTGGTGCTAATCAAAGATTCAAGGAGAGAGAAAAATCATATATGCGTTTCAATTGTCAGACCTACTGAGCAAAGAGAAGACACTTTTCTGACATGTAGAAGTTGTTAAGATTGAAAACCAATAGCTGTTTTGGATACTGTTTAATAAAATATCCAAGTAAAAAAAAATATTAAACTTCCCTTTGCCTTAGAAAACAAAACAAAACAATTTCAGACTTATGTGAAAATTATTTATATTTTTCTTTCCTCGCTGTTTTAACTGAAATATCTACTCTAAGGGGTGTAGGATGAAATTATGAACTTAATTACTTAAACTATCTGGT